TTTAGTTGTCCTGAAAGAGTGAACTATTAAAGGAAAGAAAGGAAAGTTATTTGAGGACTGTTATTTAAACCTGCTATGCTCATGAGGACAAATTCTGAAATAGGCTTAATTTATAATGCACCTCTCCCAATTTTGGCTGTGTTCACATTAGACAAATAGACAAGGTAAAGATGGAAAAATGAAACCAGTTTTGTGGCATGAGTCCCATCCGTTTGTAATGTCACTTACTTATGCCAAAAGGCCCTGATTTCTTTATTAAAATCAGTGACGTTGAAAGCTAACTTTTTGATTTGTTTTTAAATGCTATAATGTAGTTCCAGAGTTTCATTTCCTTAGGGAAAATGGGCAAATTAGAGTTGGACTGTTTTCCCAGTGCTAAATAAAGACAATTTTCTTGTTTATGATAAAATGTGTGATGTAGGTTATTTTATATAAGAAATCTGCTATAGCATTTATTTTTTGTGTCCAGTACAATTCTACCTAAAAGCTCCATGATTTCAGTCTATATAGCTCTATAAGACTCTCAGATCCTTTTGAAAAAAACAAAATTTCAAAGAAATCTCATTTTATCTGCATGTTAGCCAGTAGTTGAGCAGAATTTTCAAACAAAGATTAGCTTCAGGCTATCTCAAAACCTGAATGGTTAATGTCTTGGTGAAAAGTGATGGAGTTCTCAAAACCTCACTGAAAAGGAGGCTTTGGGGCGCAGCACGTTTCCTAACCACATCTGTGAAACAGATCCCAGTAGAGAGAGTCCCAAGTAATGACCTCATTTTGTTCAGCTCCAGACAGATAGTGAACCATCCCTAAGCATATTATTCGAGACTTTTCATCAGAAAAGTACATAAGAAAAGTGCACCTTTCTTATCACTGTGACCCAACTTTTTGGCTACCTTTTGAAGTGCATAGAGTGCTAACTATGCACTCGGAGCTCCACTAGAGAGACACCAACATCCACCTAAACCCACCAAAAGTAATCCATCAATTAAATTCCCACAGGGCCTTTCTTCTTTCTAATAGCATCTCCTGATTTCTAAGAAGAGAGCCAAAATGGCCCCTTAGGAAGTTTAAGGATAAAATAAATACCTCTTTACATACTTTGGTAAATAGAGGCCCAAATAAAAAGTTTGGCCACTGCTTTTGAAAGCGTCAGCTTATTAGCATATATTTTCTAAATCCTCCCATAGATTAAGAAAATATGTGGTGACATTATAATATATATCATATGACTGATTTATTAATTCAAATATTTATTGAACAATGGCCATATAATCTAAAAATAATACTTAGCAATTAAGGCAAGCTTAAGGTTTCTAATGGTACTCTTTCCAGAGACTCCTTTTCTCCTGTTTTCTGCTAAAAGCTCTAGCACTGAGATGATGGTTATCTGCAAGTTCCAAAGTATACAAACTGAGAAAGACATAAAAGGGATATATGGCTGACTGGTTTCTGACTTGAGTTTCCTTTTATATACAGATTTATGCCCTATCTTAAACATGACTTTTTACTTGTGTTTTGTCTTCTTGCTCTTCTAGAAAAAACTACCCAAGATGACTGTCACTTACTCCAGTAAAGTAGCAAATGCGACTTTTTTTGGATTTCATAGGTTACTCTTCAAGTGGAGAGGCAGCATCTACAAACTACTGTACAGGGAATTTATTGTTTTTGCTGTTCTTTACACAGCAATAAGTTTGGTGTACAGGTACTTTCCTTTGCATGTCTCCTTAAACAGCCATGAAATATCACTTAAGAATACAGTCTCAAAAATCTGAACCTTTTGGTTGCCACTGACTTATGTCACCTCCTCCTTTGCATGATCCTCTCTTTTGTCTTCTTTTCCTCAGGACAGGGTATTTTAACCCACACCTAACCATTTCTAGGATGTTCTATAGACATTATCAGTTTCAGGTGGCTCTCATTCCAGCCCCACATTAATTGATCATGATGAGGTTTAGCTGTGTTTCAAGAATGTTGCAACAGGCATCAATTGGAAGATGTAGACTTAGTTCCTGACTAGGGGATGATCTTGAATGGGCAAAGTCCACAGATAAATAATTACCTGTACTTCTCTCCACTATGTCATTTGCCGTTTGAACTTGTGATTTAACAGCTTGTACAACTACTACATATGTAATTAACATAGTTGAGAATGGTATATATCAGGCAACTTTCCTTCCTTCTGCCTGGAATGACAAGGTCATATCCAGGATGGTGCCTGCCATCCTTACCTGTACCTCAACTAAAGAAAAGACCTGAAGACTAATTTATTTTCTTTATATCTTCTGAGTTTGGGGCATGTGATGTTCACAAAGGGAGGTGCTTATACTTTATAACATCACAACATATGCCAATCAGATTGACAGGAAATTTTAGCAATATCAAGTCCAAAGAAAACTTTTACAACTAACAATTATAGTCAATAAAATTTTATCAGCATGATAATAGGGAAGCTTTAGGAGTTTTTTTTTTATTAAAATTGAATGCATACATTTCTTCTCTAGAAGAAATTTAAAACAGAAAAACTAAAGGTTTTTGAGGCTGTATTTTCACCTTTTCTATGTACATCAGTTTGTTATTTTTCTTGTGCACATGGATGAACAAATTTGTGTATCACTGCTCTCACCTACATTCTTCCTTGCAGCAACAGGACCCCATTTGGAAAAGAAAGATTTTAACTTAGCTGGCTGATAATTATCAAAAGTAAAATAGGAAGAGCTAGTTTGCTATGCATCAAAACTACCATTCCAAACAAGTGTATATATTGGCATACATTTTGAGAAAATATTTTTAGAGGGAAAGTCTTATTTAAAAACCTCTAATAATTTTTCAGATATGCCATATGATATTATTTTTGACTATGTGTCACCTACGCCTTCAGAATATGAAATGGTGGAAGACATAACTGTGTTTCATGATAATTATCTCATTAGTTTATTTTTACTAATGTGAGTTTAGTGCTGCTACTGATGCTTAGAATAGAATATCCCTTTAGAACAGTTGCAATGTAGCCAGGAATGCTCCTTGGAGCCTCAACTTTTGCTCCAATGTCATACTTATACCCAACAAAATTGTATGTATATGTTTTTTCTGAAAACCAAAGAGTGCTTACATTTATTACAATAATGAGTAGTTCAAGTCCTCTTTCATTTTTTTAAACTCAACTGTAAAAGTTTTTAAAATAGATCTTTTAACAACTGTAAAAGTTGTTAAAATATATCTTAATCAAAAGTATACCAAGAACTATAGGAAGAATTTGTCAAGGAAGTCAACATACCTTTGGAAAAATACAGACATGGTTTCGGTCTCATGTCTACTAATGATCATATTTAAATTAATCCTATTACAATCAAATAATTATACTTCACAAAAGTCATAAGGCAGAACCAGAATTCATTACTTTGATTATACTTCTTTCTATTTTTGGAGGAATTTGACAAAATAATCTCCGTAGTATTTTCTAGCTATTAAAATGTCTATGTGTCTATTAGCTATATATGTTTTCTTTGGCCAATTAATAGCAAGCATTTTATTATTAACAAAGTATGAAGCTATATGTTAAGTGGTTATATATATAATATTATTTAATCTTTATAGCACCCCTGAAATAAGGCATTATTATCCCCATTTACAAATGAGAAAACTGAGGCTCAGAGAGATTTAAAAATATACTCAAAGTCTAAATCTGTAAGCAGTAGGCCTGGGATTAAAAATCTGGCTTCCTCTGACCCTAAGGTTCATGTTTTTAACATTTAAATCCCCCTTTGACCATTTTATTTGAGTATCAGAAACCATTCTGGCTGTAACTTCTCATCATTATGACCCAGATAGGCCCATACAACTTTTTGGTGCCTCTTTTGGAGGCCTCTTTGGTGCCTCTGTCCCTGACTTCTATAATTCAGACACCTCTTTCCAAAACTGGCACAGGAACTCCAAGCCCACCCTGTACCCCATACACCTTTGTCAGTACCAGCTCCCAAAGGTTCTCCACCTGCAATCTGATTGGTTGCTCACTGCTATTTCATTATCTGTCTGCTTCCTTTCTCAAAGTTCTACTGACCCAAATGGACCTTTGCCGCTTGTTATAATGGATCTCTCCTTGGGTTCCTTCCTCCTTTGGAACAGCTACACTCATTGATTTATGCACATTCATCTGTTTGGCTTTCCTTTCTATATCTTGATCATATTAATTTGTCTTAAAACATTTCTTCTGACTCTGAATCCCCTCCCTACAATATAAATATCAATAATAATCTTGTTAAATGCACTATGTTTAACAATACCAGAAAATGGGTTTGGGCAGATTGGGTCAGATAATACAAATTTTGAGACAGTGACTAAATCTAATAAAAGATTTCACTTCTCATTGTTAAATTTGTTTTAGTTTATATTTCAACTAATCCTGGGCTTAAAATGAAGTTGTAATATCCCTTGAAGTATAACATGTATAATCAAGAATGTACTAAGTAGCATATTCAGAAGAAAGTAAGATCAAGATGTCAAAATCAGGGTTATTATTCAACAATTACTTAATAATGCTAATCCACACTTAATCAATACACTCTTTTTTAAGATGATGAATAACTAAAAAATAAATGTACTTTGCTTCAAATCCAATGAATCAATCATAAAATTTTACAAATATAAAGTTTTTTAAATAAAATGGTTAATAAATCCCACTACTTAATGGCCAATAACATTTGTGTATTAAAAACTTCAGTACTTTTAAGCAATTAAAAAGCTTTTGAGACACATCAGCCTAGGAAAAAGGAAAAAGTTATTGCTCCTTTAAAAATAAAGCATATTATTTGTGCTTAATTGTTGCACTTGATGTCACTTGCAAAGCAGGTGCAGAAGTATAATATCATAAAGGGCTGTGCATTTTATTTTTGCTCCAGATTGTTACTTACAGGAGCCCAAAAACGTTACTTTGAAAAATTATCAATTTACTGTGACAGATATGCTGAACAAATTCCAGTAACCTTTGTGCTTGGTAAGTATAGGTCACACGCAGAATGCAGCCACGCAGCTGTCTCCATTAGGATGACACCGATGACTCTGCATGGGAGTGTTTCCAAGCTGCGAGGCATGCCTGAAAAGCCACCGCTTGCGATAGAACCAGAATCATCCATAAGGTTTGCCTTCAGGGCTGCTTCCGCTAAATTAACACCGAACACGTTTGAGGTAATAATCTGCTATTGGACAATTAAGCTTTTTCTTCACTAACTCTCCATTTTTGCAGTCGATATTTGAGCTCTAATACCCACTTACTGGGTGCTCTGGCACTGTCAAGCACAAATGACATTTTTTTCTGAAGGGCAAAATCATAAGGTATGGATAACAACATATTTTTATACCCCAACCCCTATAAAGGCTAAAATTCTGCTAAAAGCATCCGTGTCACCCACGTGTCTGCTGTAAGACATTGCTTTATAATTTCCTGTTGTTCTGCAGGGTTTTATGTTACCCTGGTAGTGAACCGATGGTGGAACCAGTTTGTGAATCTGCCCTGGCCGGACAGGCTGATGTTCCTCATCTCCAGCAGTGTCCACGGAAGCGACCAGCACGGGCGCCTGCTCAGAAGGACGCTGATGCGCTACGTGAATCTCACCTCCCTGCTCATCTTCCGCTCAGTGAGCACCGCAGTGTACAAGAGGTTTCCCACCATGGACCACGTGGTTGAAGCAGGTACTGTGATTGGCTTTTCCTTCCCTCGGCGCCTCTCAACCAGGATAGGGACCTCTAAAATTCCTTTGAAACTTCTTTATATTTATTCATTCACTCGAGAAACATGTATTGATTGCCTACTACGTGCCAGAAACAGTCTTAAGAGGCAAAGAAGAATAAGACGTGGTTCCTGCCCTCCAGGTGGTGGGGGAGGGGAAGCAGCAGACAGTCACATTGCCTTAAGAAAATATAATAAATATCATTTTTTTTTGAGACAGAGTCTTGCTTTGTTGCCCAGGCTAGAGTGAGTGCCATGACATCAGCCTAGCTCACAGCAACCTCAAACTCCTAGGCTCAAGCAATCCTCCTGCCTCAGCCTCCTGAGTAGCTGGGACTACAGGCATGCGCCACCATGCCCGGCTAATTTTTTCCATATATATTAGTTGGCCAATTAATTTGTTTCTATTTATAGTAGAGACGAGGTCTCGCTCTTGCTCAGGGTGGTTTCGAACTCCTGACCTTGAGCAATCCGCCCGCCTCGGCCTCCCAGAGTGCTAGGAGTGAGCCACCACGCCCGGCATAAATATCATTTTTATTAAAACAATCTGTTATATCATCTTACAGTTTTCCTAGCACTTTATAGTCTATCTCCTTTTATAACTATTTCATTTGGATCTCAAGAGAACATGTAAAAGGGAGAAAATAGGTTCAGAGAGGTTACAGCCTGCCCTGAATTGCACAGCTGATTAATGGAGCCAGAATTAAAATTCAGTCTTCGAACTCCTAAGTTAATACTTTCCCCAAAACATACTAGATTCTGGCAGGAACCAGAAACATCAGTTTTCACCCAGGCACCCCTGAGAGGTGGTAGTAAAAAGCTGTTGCAGTGTGGATCTGTTGTCTCTCCTATGCCTCCTGGTAGATCCAGTTATTCTGTGTGGGCTTCTGGGTCCAGTGTACTGAGAACAATCATGTCTGAAGGGTGGTTCTCTTTGATGTGCAAAGATTTAGCAAAGAAGCTGTTAAATCAGCCTTCATTAAATCGGATAATTTTGGGCACATATAGACGATATAAGAACCATGAGATGATTCTGCCTTTACATTGAGTACATTCTGTATTTCAAGTCTAACATTAGGTTGCAGTATCCAGTCTACTTTTCTGAAATGTCCTTGAAATTAGATTTTTTAAGGATAATATTTTTTGTTTGGTTTTGGAGTTTTTGTTGGCTTTTTTCTTTTTGTTTTGAATTCTTAAATGGGCAATATAGATAGTGACTGTCAAAGTCAAAATTAAAATGTAGATATGAATCTCCAAATGTAATGTTTTATTTGGGAAGAAAGAATTGCAACTCGGGACCTACACTCACAATGGGTGGTCTTCAGTATATTTAAAGAACAAAGAGAAGGTTGGGAGTTTTATTTTAAAAACAAATGTTATATATTGCTGTTTGAGAAAGTTCATTGGCACAAGTATGGTTCTAGGGGGTGGGCAAGTTTTGACTGGTGGGTGATGGCAGCGGGTAAAATTACGTTTAGAGTTGCAGCAGGTCCTTTCCGGAACTATTAGATAAAACTGGTTTCAGGTATAGCAGATAGTTTCTGCAGCCAGGCTTGCAAGTGAATTACATTCTTGGAGCAACATTATGTGTCCTGAGTGCTTTTTCCCACTGGATTCTCAACTCCATTTTATTTGTATATAATGAGAATGGCCCAATTTGTATGATCAACTTTGCACAGTGACTAAGAGCACAGAGCCAGGGTTTGAATCCTCTTACCACTTACTGGCTATATGACTTTGTCTGAGTTAGTTAACCTTTGTGTGCCTCAGTTTCCTCATCCATAAAATGATCTTATAGTAACTTATAATAATGCCTATCTCATATACCTCATAGGTTTTTTATGAGGAATAATAAGTTAATATTTTCAAAGTGTTTAGAGCATTTCTGGCATATGATAAGTGCTACATGATTTCTTACTATTATAATGAAATCATCTGGAACAACCTAATGTAGCACTTGGTCGCTTTAGAAGACTCATGGTTGGTTGATAGGACATCAAGTAGGTCTTCTTGACCTATTTTGAGGAGGTTGTAAAAACCAAGGTGGAAATAAGGAAGGAGAGGTATAGATGAGTTGTCAGGAATAAAGATTGAGTTGTGAGAAAGTAATGGCGTTCAGGAGTTGGCTAAGGATTCGGGTGGAGACTCTGACTGGACTGGCAAATGCACAGGTGTATTATTATACGAAACCAATAGGAACTTAAAAAAACAATTAGCTGCCACCCCTCCTCCAAATGCAAAAGTAGAATACTGCTTCAGAATGACCACATTTGAAAATACTTCTTGACAACTTAATTCTCTTACGTGAATGTCTACAGGATCAAATGCAGTAAGAATTACCACCTCTAAAGAAAGACTTAAAAACAAACAAGAAAGCTTTGGCCCATTCCAAATTGATGAGGTAAAGTTTACTTGAATAACAGAGGTGATATTTCTCTAGTTCTGACGCACCCTTGGAATGAAGAGAGTGCATTCCGACAGGAATCAGATGCCAGGCCCAATCCTCAAAGCAAATCTTAACTTCTCAGTGTCACCTTCATATTAAAAGCACTTCAATACTGTTTCTGGATACTCTCAAAAAAAAAAAAATAAAAATAAAAGCACTTCAGGAAGAAGCCAGGTTGGCTGGTGACGGACGGGCCCTTGGGGCCTCTGGTCAGACTCGCGCTTAAAGGTCAGACTAGCGCTTGGAGTTCAGACTCGTGCTCAGGTCTGACCAGCAAGTAGATGTGAGGAGGCAAAGAAGGAGAATGACACGATTCCATTTCTTTTGGGTGTATTTTTCAGAATACCAAGTCCTACTCTTTGTCAAGCTTGTACAAATGTCTGTCATGTACTTGCATCTGACTTTTTCCCTCTTGAAAGCATCTGAAATATTGGACTACTTCTCTCCCCAACCATCAGTATCCCTACCATTCCACGGGAAATCTTAAGAGTCATTTGCTCCTTGATGCGCATTTAAACTAGTGTGTCTCTAGATGTGACCTGCAGCCCCACAGGGTTGGTGCTGAAGATCTGCGCTTTGGATGACAACGTCTGCATGGCCTTTGCCGCCGACGCGAGGATAGTCATCAACAGGGCCCGGGTGCAGTGCCAGAGCCACCGTCTGACAGTGGAGGACCCGGTCACCATGGAGTACATCGCCTGCTGTATCGCCAGTCTGAAGCAACGTTACACACAGAGCCATGGGCGCAGGCCGCTTGGTATCTCGGCCCTCACTGTGGGTTTTGACTTTGATGGCACCACCAGACTCTATCAGACTGACCCTTCGGGCACATACCATGCCTGGAAGGCCAATGCCATAGGCCAGGGTGCCAAGTCAGTGCGCGAGTTCCTAGAGAAGAACTATACGGATGAAGCCATTGAAACAGATGATCTGACCATCAAGCTGGTGATCAAGGCGCTCCTGGATCAGTCAGGTGGCAAAAACATAGAACTCGCCGTCATGAGGAGAGATCAGCCTCTCAAGATTTTAAATCCTGAAGAAATTGAGAAATATGTTGCTGAAATGGAAAAAGAAGAAAAGAAGAAACAAAAGAAAGCATCATGATGAAATCAAATTTCCTTGGTTAACAGTTTTTAAACTCCAATCATGGTTGAGTCTCAATGATGTATAGGCATTTCCATTCCATTTACCACCTATTCATACTGTCTGAGTGTCCTACAATATACTTCCATATTTTTTAACCTTAAAAAAAAAAAAGAAGAGAAAAAATTAAAAAGGAGGCAGAGCTTATGCGGTCATGGGAGCGATGGGAAGCAGCTGTAAACACTGACGAAGCTTTGCTCGCTGGCCTGCCACATCCCTCCTGCTGTGTGGCCCAGTTCCTAACAGGTCACAGACGGTACCAGTCTGCAGCTCGGGGGCTGGGGACCACAGGCCTAGAGAATTTGAATTAGACTTGCTTGGTCTTAACTGACTTAATTCTGACTTAATTTTTGGTTGGTTTGTTTGGAGTGACATAAGGAGGGAGAGAACTGAGGGAGATGTGGCTCTGTCCCATGAGACCAACACTGGTTATCTTGAGTAAAAAGGACCCTATTGCTCTTATTAACTCCTAAGTGTATTCCCAAAGGCAGGAAAAGGATAGTGGGCACAGCTTGTGCCCACAGGGATAAAAGGTTTGTGTTAGGCAGCAGGGCAAATTTCTAAGCCACTATTCTCTCAGGTGAGAGAAACACGTCAGAGGCCCACTCTTCCTGGCTGCCACGCGGCCAGCACCCTCTGTCAGGGCAGCGCTGACTCACGGAGCTTCCTGCTCCTGTCCCCAGTGGAGACCGCTGACTCAGAGTCTGCACGAGTCTGCTTCCAAGTTCTCCTAACTGGGCACATGTCTCTGCCACTCCCTGACTGTCCTTTGCCTGTGCCAAGGTTTCTGGGAAGAACAGGAAGCTCAGGGATGGTGGAAAAATGTCTGGCAGATCCCCTGAGTCCGGAGCCAGGGCACCTGCTCCTGCCTGAGGGCAGTGAGGACTGGTCAGTAAAGCACTGGGGGACAGTCCCAAAGGGCTGGGGACAAAAGAAAGGGGAAATGCCAAGGGCACAAAAGGCCTTCTTGTCAATTGAATCCTTTATGTTAAATAGCCTGTAAGGAAAAGTACATGTTCTCAAACTTCAGCATGCATTAAATATTGCTAAAATCAATATGGCTAAAAATTCAGATCCTGAGATACCACCCCCAAAGGTTCTGATTCAGTAGGTCTGGAGTAGGGTCCAGGAATCAGTGTATTTAACATACTCCTGGAGACTCTGAGGCAGGTGGGCTTTAAGGCAATGGGAGTTTCCCTGTAATTCCTTCTTGCTTTTGTCTCAGGGAGGGTTCAGAGCTGGCCAGGAGGAAATTAGTGAGAGGGCTGAGGGAGTAAAGACCAGCATCTCCATCTGAAGCTTCTGGCAATTCCTTGACCGGAGCTGGACAAGCTAGGTTACTTACCTGGCCTGAATGTTTCTTGCTTTTAAGTTGGACAACGAAGTTACATTATTCTGGGAAATAAAAAGACCAAAATGCATGTTACCAAGGAAATATACATGAATGATGTTACGGGTTGAATTTCTCAAAAATAAAAAGCTTTTTATTTCTGCTCATATGAAAATAGAAATATAACCATTGAATTCAGAATAATGTCTGTTATGCTGAAAAGTTCCTGAACTGGTCTGTTATCAGTTCTTTACCAGAGGGTCTGCAATATAATCTCTGTTATTTTCCTTATCGGGTACAAACCTGTCCTGGAAAATGCTAGTCATTACAATCACCTACCCTGGAAGATGTCACTCATTCCAAGTCAAGTCAGGAGCACAATTCCAGCTCTTTGTTGATTCAAGAAATGACCTTAGATGAGTGCTTATATTATGGTTTCAGACTGAATCAAAACATCTTATCTAGTGTGTCACAGACATCAGGAGAAGAAAATACTTCTCACCAGAGGCACAAAGATACGTAGTAGTAAATTATATACATTCCTCTGAAAGAAACATTACCAAACTGATGCTAGAGCTGGCATGCCTTTGCTTATTCTACAGACTTATTGTGTGCACACTGTGTGCCAGGCACTGTGCTGGACACTGGGAGTACAGCTAGAAGCAAGAACAGGTGTGGTCCCTGTCCTCAAGGATCAGTAAAAATTACACAAATCTTTTCTTACATTAATCAATGTCAGAGACAAGCACAAATATATTAATATTTACAGTTAAATTTCACATCTCTGCATTGCATTTCTATCTCTCTAAAGTTGATAGTTTCTGTGTTTGGTAATTCATAAGAGTGGTTAGTTAGAAGGCAGTAAACTGAGGGAGGAAAAGGCACCCTTTAATTTTCTCAAAGCTCTGGAATCTTACCATGAAGGCTCTTGGGCTTCTTTGACTACAGAAGCTCCTTTGGAATGCTTAGTGGCACTTAAGGTTAACAGACATTAATACAACTAAGCAAGCCCCCAGTTGTCAAGTGAATGTTGAGATAAAAATTTTAACTTTAGATGCATTGGTTGTAAGGCTAACCCCATTTGAGTTTCTGGCACACATAGATCATTTAACCTGTGATGTTCTCTATGTAAAATCAAATGAATTTTGTATAATATTTTAGTAACATTCATAAAATCAATTGAATTTTGTCTAACATTTCTGCCATGGGTATGCTTTTGTTTTTCCTGATGCATTCTGTGGCTTTGGGTTTCCTGGTCTCTGAAATCTCCTACCACCCTGTGTTACAGCAGAGAGGACCAAGGGGACAGTGATATTCACGGCTGTGCCAGTTTTCCCTCTGTTGGCTGAACTTTTAGAGGCTGAGTCAGTCACCCCTATATTCTCACATGATGAGCCCGGAACAGACAGAATGTCATCCTGCGAGTGAAATTTGACTCACCTATGCACACTTGCTGTACACAGGAAAGAAAGTGCATGGCAGAACTAGCCCTCCTTGAATTGATGCCATGGATTGCCTGGCTCAGTTGCTCACTGTTTGAAGGTTCCCCCACAGTTCTGTTTTAGGAGTTACAGGAAGACTATCCCTTCAATGTTTCTCAAAGTATGATTCTAGACCACATTCATTGAATTATCAAGGGTGTTTATTTAAATTGCTGGTTCCTAGGTAGCGTAGTGACTCTCTGGGACTCAGGACCTAGGAATCCACATTTTAAACAAGCTCCTCAAAAGCACTGCAGAGCGTTTGACCAAGTCTGGGAATGCTGAAATGACCAGCACTAGGGCACTTGTTCCTGAATGTCTCTGCAAGTTGGAATCACTGGGGATCTTTTTTAAATGTTGACATCTGGCTCCTATCCTCAGACATTAGTATTAAATAGGTATGTGGTGCAGCCTGAACATCAGGAGTTTCTAAAGCTTCCCAGACCATTCTAATGTACGACAAAGTTTAGGAACCATCACACTAGGGCATATCGGTTAATTCATGTAGTTTTATTTTGATATTGCCTCAGATCTATTCACCCAGGGCAAATGAAATTCTGGAACACCTGTGCAGATGAGGAATCAAGAACACTGATTTTGTGTTCATTATTTCTTGTGTGTCATTAAGCAGAAGACAGTGAAGTACCAAATGGGATATTAATTTAGGGACAGAGATATGGCTGATTAGCGATTTGCCCATAGCAATAAAATAAAGAAGTATCTCTGTCTTCATTCCTCATTGCTACCCCAGAAACTGATTTTACTTCACCACTTCCTATTTCAGTCTTCTCAGACTGTGGGTTGTAACATTATTGAGTTCTTAAATCATTTTAGTGGCTTGTAACCAGCATTTGTAATGGGATGGAAAGATAACATTAGAATGGAATGGAATGGAATGGAATGGAATGGAATGGAATGGAATGGAATGGAATGGAATGGAATGGACTAGAAACTGTCAGAGAGCACGTCATGAAGAAAGGCCAATAATTGTTTTGTGAACTACATGTATCTCCCTGTGCTTCATGGTAAAGAATGTTTGCCATTCTATACAATATTGTCACAATGGGACTCTGTCCCTTTCTCAATCTCATTTTGCCTTACTTGATTTTCCCAGTTGGCCAAGATTTCTAAACCTATTCCATCGAATTTAAAGGACAGCTATAAGTGAAGCTGGTGGCTTCATTCCATTCATCTGGAAAACACAGAGATAAAAATGAGCCAGGCACCTTGCACTCTTCCCTCTGAGCACTCTGATGCTGAATGCACAACTTTCTCTTTCAGCAAGAAGTGGCATTAAACACATTCTGCCTGCAGATTTTGAGATGCAGAGCTTTTAGTTCTTCTACTAATAGAGCCTCATTTGAATACTGTACGTTAAAGGCAAAAGACATCTGCCTCAGCTTCAATCAAGGAAAAATAGACCAACTGTACAGCAGGCAAAGTCTATGATGACTGAAATCTTGTTTATCAATGGATTTAATTAATCCTTTGGCTTGAGGGCAGCAAAATTTCGTCTTCAAGTAGCAGATCTTATTCCATCAAACCACAGCTCAAGTTGCAAGTAAATGCAAACATAAATCTGTATCTCTCAATATAGATATTTTATTCTGATTAGAAATATGAAAGAGGGTTTTTGGGGGGATAAGCAATATGAAAATGGCTGAGCAGAGCTGAGTCAGTCAGTTGGAAAAGAGATAGTAAGAGAAACTCCAGGCAGATGCAATGGCAGGATATAAAAGCCATGCCTAGAGTGTCAATGGGGCCTGAAGGAGCATGGCATGGAGACAGACATGTGAAAGAGACAGGGTGGTGGGAGGACCAGCCAACTAAGCATGTTGCCAAACTGGAGCGATTCAATAACTGTAATTAACATAGCCTTAGAAATGAGGATAATGACCATATTCTCAAAAAGATCATCGGTCACTGGTTAAAATGGCTTGAAGTGCTAATGAGAGTAACATTCCATTTTATAGCATATACTTTTTGAATGGATTTGGCCAAAAATCTAGAAATTTTCTTTCAAATTGACCAACAACGTGATTTCCAAAGATGGGGTCACTTTGGATAAGATGTGTGGCCCTGCAGGGAGTAACGAAAATCATTCTGCCTGGCACTCTTGGAGGACACATTAATGTCTGATTGACTCATCATTCATCTTCTCGGCACCTAGCAAAGTGCTTGATAAATTCGAGCTGAAAACTTAAAATTACCAGCTTTCCTCACTCTCTGTGTCCCCTTCCAATCAATAGATGTCCTACATGGAAGGAAAAGCCTAACTCTTGCTTTAGTGTTTATGCTACATAAACCCTCACTCTGCATATTTGCTTTCTGCTTAGAAGCCAAGAAAAGACTTGCTAGCACAATTTGATCCATACTCCTGAATAAAAAATCAGCAAAGACAAAGTTATTCTTTGGTCAAATGATGAAGTTTGCAGCCAGTATATAAGTGGGGTTATTTTTGAAAATTGTACCATAGATCTCAAGAATGTAACTGTTAGACAATTGATATGGAATATGTGAGAATAGGCTGCAGCAAGTCTTTAAGCATAAAATCAAGACAGGTCAAGTTTATCTATTACCTTCTTATAATAAGATTTAATCATGCTCTGCAAGTCTTTTTTTAAAAAAAAAAAGTAGATTATCTGAATCATGCAACAACTTTGAGATGCACTGAGAAATAAGAGAATTACCAGGCTCATTTTATTTTTTACCTCCAGAGGGAGTACCGTTCTCAAATCATGGCCAGAACCCTTCTAAGCTAGTATAAATAACCTGAGTGTTACCTATAACTAGACTACTGTTGGTAAATATTGGTTTTGTAGTTGTTACTTTGTTTATTTCAAATCCTAAATAAACAGAACCTTCATTCAGTGGGACAGTGATTTCAAACACTGCTATATGTCAGAATTTTGTGCAGAGCTTGGTAAGCATGCAACTGCCTGGATCCAATTCTATTAAATCACCCAGGAAGATTTTTTAAAGTGCTGATGCCTAACCTCATCCCAGACCAACTGGGGCAGAATTTTCCAAAGATAAGACCCAGGTATTGGTATTTTCTAAAAGTGGCCATGTAAAAGTCTAAGGTATAGACTTGAGTCGAGAACTCCTGCCCTATTGATTCTGATTTAGTAGGTGAGGGTGGGGCCAGCCCTCTCCATGTTTAATAGGTATCACAAGTGATTCAGACCCATGGTCTGTAGACCTTATTCTTAAAAACAATGGCCTAGATCAGGTCAAAGATCGAGGTAACTCCAAAGCTGTATGAACTGATGACTTTCAAATGGGCACATCTCACTTTTCCTTTGACATCTTTTGTATTGTAACAATATCTCTTAAATAAAATTCAGTCTATACGGTAAAGGAAGGAGAATTACTTTCAACAGGACAATCAGATTGGTAAACTGATTACAGATGGTTAGAGATATAAAATGTGTTACATTAGGGCAAAAGTTGATTTTCATCTGAATGTATTATCAGAATTTCATAAGCTAATAGTTGCATTTCTGAGAGAAAAATAACTCAAAATTAATACCTAACAAAAATCAATTTTAGAAATAAGCTTTGATTCATAAAACACTTTATATTAAATCATAATTACAATTTAAAAGCTATTTAAAATAAAAAGCCAAAGGGGTAGGTACAGGAGGGTCATTGCAGCATTATTTTTAGTAGCAAAAAATTCAAAACAGCTTACATGTCAATGCAGAAGGGAAGTAGTTAAATAAAATATTGTGTACAATGAACTTTTAATTAATATGTTGATTAATATAGAGAGAGCAGCCATTTAAAAGAATGCTGCTGCTCTCTATATATTAATTTTTTTAATCCCCAAGATATAACTGACAAATAGAAGCCAATGGCAGATATGTATGTAATATAAAATCACTTGTGTTTAAAAAAGAGTAGGCCTGTATGAAAATCTATGACATTTGTCTGGAAAGATACACAATAAATTGATTGTAGTGATTTCCTCCAGGAAGGGAAACTTTGTGGTCAGAAAAAGAGACATCTCCATTAATACACCTTTGGCACTTTTGGCTTTTTGATTCATTTAAATTACTCAATCAAATTTTTAAAAATAAGACCAGTTTGGTGGCTCTGCCCTGTAATCCCAGTGCTTTGGGAGGCCAAAGCAGGAAGATCGCTTGAGGCCAGGAGTTCAAGACCAGCCTGGGCAACATAGCAAGACCCAGTGTCTACAAAAAATTGAAAAATTAGCCAGGCATGGTGGCGCAGGCCTAAAAGTTTAAAAAGTAAAAGATCAAATGCAAACTTTAAGCTTTTCTCTTTTTTTTTTTAGACAAAGTCTCTACTCTGTCACCCAGGGTAGAGTGCAGTGGTGTGATCATAATTCACTGCAGCCTCAAACTACTGAGCGTAAGCAATTCTCCCACCTCAGCCTCCAGAGTAGCTGGGACTAAAGGCAAGCACCACCACACTTGGCTAATTTTCCTGGTTTTTGTAGAGATGGGATCTTGCTCTTGTTTAGGCTAGGTCTCAAACTCCTGGCCTCAAGCAATCCTTCTGCCTTGGCCTCCCAGAGTGCTGGGATTACGGGCATGAGCCACTGCACCCAGCCTGTAAACTTTAAGTTTTTAAAGTATTAATACATCTTTGGGTGAACAAACCTTGGTATATAGTAGACATTCAATAAATGTTTGCTTATTAAATAAACCTGCTACCTTATTCCTCTTCTATTATTTAAATCTCTTCTCTCTTTGGTATTCAGGGAAGGGGGAGGAGGCAGAAGATAGCTGAAGTTTCCTGTAATTGATGATGCCTTAGCACTTGAGTTCTAAGGGCGTGTTAAGCATTATTCTAGCATCTTGACATATGTTCATCATCCCAGGTTAGTCTACAGCATCTCTGTAAAGTAGATAGTATCCATTCTCTTTTACAGATGAGAAAGCTGAGACTCAGAAAGGTCACTGCAAGCTCAAAAAAATTGCATTTTATACACACGCCAAAACAATTAAAGAAGCACTTAAAAGCATGTGCAAAATGCTGTGAGGACTTTGAAGATTCATATGCTCTATGCCTTTCAAAAATGTCGTAGCAGGGAAAACGTTTAAGTAGAGTATTACTATAAGGCAAGCCAAGAGTGAGTACCATGTGGGAGCTTTAAAGGGGAGAAATCCCAGGGGAAAGAGAAGGAAGGAATCAAAGAAGGCTTCACAAAAGAAGGAACGATTAAGTAAGACTTTGAAAGGAGAGGTCAGGAGGAAAAGTCATGTGAATCATGTGTTCAGCACTATGCTAAGTGCTTGTGTACATTATATTTTATTCTTTTAATCCAACAATTCTAAGTGTTATTATACCCAATTTTAGATGAATAAACCAAAATTCAAAGAAGAAATTTCCCCAAATGTTCTAGTTCACATTTAATGTCTCCTTCCTTCTTACTTGGCTTCACTATCAGGGATTGCCAATGTGTATTTTGGCATGTAACTGTGCATTGCCTCATATAATTGGTGTATAACTTGTGTGTATCCTTGCATGTGTGAGTGTGTGCTTGCACGCTCATATGCCCACATTTCTTATCTCTCACACAAGTATAGACTACTTGAGACAAGAACCTTTATTTCATATCCCTTTAATATCCCCCCATTCTATGCTCATATAGTAGACACTGAAACATGGTGATGTATTCATGCTTAATTAAGTCTATACATTCTAGCCATTTTTGTTTTGTGCAAAGGTTTCATGACAGCAGATGAAAGGAAATTATTCAACCATCTTAAATCTCCTCATCTGAAATACTGGGTTCCATTCATCTGGTTTGGAAATCTTGCAACTAAAGCCCGGAACGAAGGTAGAATCAGAGACAGTGTTGATCTGCAATCACTGATGACTGTAAGTACATCATAAACCATCAGTAAAAGATGCTAATTAGGGACCAAGAGGGATCTGCATATAACAAGTCAGACCAGAAAGAGATTGCTTTAATCATGGTTCCAAAGGAACTGGAAAGACTGGGCTAGTATCAGAACCCTCAACACGCAGAATGCAGAGTATACAGGTTGAATTCAGATAGCTTGGTAGTGGTTGCTTGAAAGCTGTAATAGTCTCTATAAGAAAGCGTTCCTTCATTGATTAGTCAAGGGCCACCAAGGGCTCTGAAGAATTTGGTGCCCGCATGGCATATTTGCCATCCCTAGCTCCAGGATCCTAGAATAAAATCTAGAGGAGAAATAAACCTCCCCAGCCATTTCCCCCAAATTGGAATATTCTGAATTTAAGCCACCTTTTGAGATGCTATAGTAAACAAAACAGTGTTCTTACTAAACAAAATAACCCTAAAATTTATCTGACAAATTTATGTAAGGGCTGGATATATTTGTGCCGTGACAGTCTCCTGCCTGGATTAGTCTAAAAGGACTGAATGATTTTTAAAAAGCTCCCAAATTAATGAACTTTTCTTCCCAATCTTATATAACAACTTAAGTGCAATAGATGGGGAAAAAAAATCAAAGGATCCCATTACTCCTACTTCAGAGAGAGATTTTCTGTCAATCTGAGTGTTCTACAGTTTTCATTTGTTGTGGGAAAGCTTTGGGATGTATTTATATCTCTTTTCTAAGATCCATAATAAGCCTATTTTTAAATAAGAGAAACAAAAAGAATTTGCTTTCCACATTATTTACCAAAATAGCTAAAAATTACTTATTTAAAATATTAACTATTGCCTTCTCATCACCACTTTGGGCCAATAGACACATAGGGTATATTACTACAAAGTCCTAACTTATTTTAATATTAAAAAAATATGTCCTAATGTCCTCATCCTTTTTGCACAATTTTCAATGATGTTCATTGCTTGTCATTTTTAGAATTTTCCTTTTAGAGTAGCCTTGGAAACCAATCTACTGGCCTTATAAAGTCAGTCCCATCATCTTACAAACATATTCATAAACATTATGCCACATTCTGAATCTCAGTAAATGTTTATTACCACATCCATCATTTTAGTAAGTCATTTTCGATTTGTTTCTGGTTTAGGAAATGAATCGATACCGCTCTTGGTGCAGCCTCTTATTCGGTTATGACTGGGTTGGAATTCCGCTGGTTTACACCCAGGTACCAAATACTTTGCATGTGATTCATTATTTCCATGTGCCCACCTTGGCACTCTGGCTCACTGTGGGCGGCCAGCACTGTCCTCACTCCAGTCTCTCTCTATTCCAGGTTGTCACTCTTGCTGTCTACACCTTCTTCTTCACATGCCTGATTGGACGCCAGTTTTTGGATCCCACCAAAGGCTATGCGGGGCATGATTTGGATCTTTACATTCCAATCTTCACTCTCCTACAATTCTTCTTCTATGCAGGATGGCTCAAGGTAGCCAATAGTCACAGTACTTGAGACATACTCTATAATCTGTCATGTTCCAAAAATCTGCACACTGTTTTTTTACTGAGTCTTTAGCAAATCATTCATGAGTGAGTCAAAGATAGATTTAACATGTAAAAGCTCAGCGATGTGATTCCTTTTCTACCAGGGATTAAAGTGACAGGGCTGTAGTTTGCACTTATATTGCAGCAATCTGAAACAGCTCATCTATGCAAAGATGAGAAGAACACTCTTTTATGGCTATTGATTTTTTTTTAAGTCTCTGTGTGCTCCCATTAGGATTACAATAATGTAACTAAAGTAATAACTAACTGTGCCTGCATTGATATTTTATACCACAATAAGAAACTAGGCAGAGTAAGAGAGAATAAACAAGAAGCCTTGTCTGTAAGACTTAAGCATTCACATTGTAGTGGTATCTTGGTTCTGCTCAACTCTGTAAATAGTTACTTGCAATTCCCTGAAATCCTACTTGCTATCCCATAATATTAAATACTTCCCGTTTTCCAAAACAGAACAGAAACTCAGGAAAGAATTCATCAGAACCAAAACCAGAAATATTAGGATTAATGTTGACATTTGGTTTGCCAGGAAATTAAAAACAGGTCCAAGAAGTGAGAACAGCTTATCTAATTACCACCATAGAATGTTATGTGTTCCCCACCACCACCACCCTCCTTCACCCCTCTCAAACTTCCCAGATGTGTGCGAATATCAGAGGTCTGATTCTTCCATCTCTTTTGTAAACTTCTAATAGGGACAGATGTGATAGAAAAAGATCAAAGACAATGATTTCATTCAGTTAACTGAAATCTGATGACAGTATGAAGATGATGTTAGTTAAGTAGAATTTTCAAATGTGTGACCTTCCAAATGGCCACATGTCGTGCACCATTGAGGTCTTCAGGTTGCAGCAGAATTCTCCCTGCAGAAGCCTTTCCTTTCATTGGTTTGAATCTTAACCAGGAAAAATAAATGAATGGGCATTTCAAATTATACCCCAAAGAGTTAAGGCATGTCCCTTACAAATGGTAAAAATATTTTAACCAGGTAACAGTGATTCTTAATTATTTTTGCCCATTTAAGAGCAAGAAAGAACAAAAGAGACTTTTGTTCATTTTCCATGAGAAGAAAAAGTAGACTTTATCTTGATAAATATAAAATCACTACAATTGGCCCAAATGCTCAATGATTTTGGTCTTTTTTGTCCTTTCCCCTGCTTAGTGCTGAGCTTTTTATTCTTTGATTTGTGTCCACAAATGCAAAGATGAGAAGGAGAACCACATAAGGTCCTCTGCTAACCTGTAAAGAGTAGATAGTGGTTCCTTCCTTCTGACGTGCTTTCTAAAATGTTAACATCCTTTTCCTCTGTAAAATACTTTTAAAAGGCAAAATATGAAAAGGCACAATCCTAGCTCTGTTAAGAGATCAGCAAACCTAAACATCAATGGTTTGTGCCTCGATATCTAAATAGCTGCTCTATCTTGACAATCCAGATATTTATGAATCTTTTCAAAGTGCAGAAAAACCAACTTAACTTTATGAAAAATGTATTACTCCGTTACTTGCTGGAAATGGAGTCTCCAATGGAGTTAAGGATATCTTTTATGATTGTCAATTCATAAACATAGGTGCCATTTTGTTAATTTAATGTAAACTATAATAATATATGGAGAACTCGTCCCATAAAAGTGAAAATATGGATATAACAAAAATATTTTCAGCAAGTGATCCACTTAATTTAAGCAAAGAAATGGCAAGAAATGGTACATAGTCCCTTGCAACTCATAATAAAGGACTTTGATATGGATATCACTGTGAGGTTTTGTGCATCAGCCCACAGCCTAGCCTAGGGCTATCTCTTAGAATAGGGGAAATACACTTCGATAAATCAGAGATTCTTAAGGCCACATATTAAAACCTCCTGAGTGCTTTACCCGATACTGATGGCTGAGCTCAACCTCACACTGGTTAAATCAGAATCCCTGGGGGACGGACCCAGTCATCAGTTATTTTTAAGAGCTCCCAAGGTAATTTTAATGTGTAGCCATGGCTAAAAACAACTGCTTTAAGTAATTTGTCCTAAATCCTAAAAAATAAGTAGGTAGATTTTCTACTGAATGGTCTCAAAATCTAGACTCTAGAGACTAATCACATGGTGCCTTTATTTTATATACTTGTAAGTTTTTTACCATCTAGACCCAATGTATGCAATATATGCAAAATCTCCATCTCTCTCTCTTTCTCTCTGTCTGCCCCCGACACACACACACACACACACACACACACACACATTCACATGCACATGCACAGACATCCAGATAATAAAAATCAAAGGAAATTATTCAGAAAGGAGAATGACAGGTGAGTCGTATTTGACATATAAACCTCTCATAAAGAAGGCCATTCAATTCAAGAACATGGTAAGAATGTTTCATTTTGACCAAATATTAGAAGCTGTTTGGTAATAAGCTACCTAAATCTTTCCCAGCAGGAAAACTAACTTACTGGATAAGGGTAAATCCTTTAGAGTAAAACTAAGTAAGCCACAATTTCCAGCTTTATAACTCACTGGCCCTCAGGCTCATTCGCTTAGCGATTATGTCCAATAATTGTGGCAGCTCCTTATGTCATTTTTTAAAACTGTGATTTAAGTCTTTCTTTGCTATTTAACCTTCTCCTTATTTATATTTTGTCTTATCATCTGTGTCCTGTAGATTCCTTGAAAACACAGGCTATGTACCCCTCGCAGTGCCTTGCACATTGTTGCTCCTTAAATATCCATGAGTTTTATTTGGCTCCTTACCAGCGTACAGCCTGTCCTGGATAGGGCCTGTGTTGTCACCAGTTGGATGGACAGATCCATCCATGCATTTGGCAAGCATGCACGTGAAGGTGCATCATTCATGGTTTGAGAATCAAGTCCCCTTGCTAATAAGTATCTGCGTCTGTAGAACAATCCTCTCCCCTCTAGGCTTCATATTATGAAAGTAGCAAAATGAAGCTGGGAGCAAAACAGGAATCAGTTTAGTCTCTGTTCTCAGTCTCCACAGGTATCATGATTGATTTCTTCTGTGTCCTCACCTGCAGGTAGCTGAGCAACTCATCAACCCTTTTGGAGAGGATGATGATGATTTTGAAACTAACTGGTGCATTGACAGAAATTTGCAGGTTAGCAGAACTTTTCTTTCCTTTACAAACATTAATAATAAATCACTAATGATGTTTCAAATCTAAGCAGACCCTGGATACAGGCCCCTGGACTTCTGAGCTTCAGCCACAAATGAAAGAGGTTTGGCTCTTCAGCAGGTTGTCTCAAGTCCTTTCGGAACCTCACGTGTCCTAGATCTCAGTCCCAGTGAAATTTAGCTTCTTTTAAGTAGAATTTCAAGCCAATGTTATTTGTAAGTTTCTCTATTAGCTTTACTCAGCCTCTTCCATCTCAGTACAGAGCAATAATTTAATTTATTCTTTAATTTGTTTTCTATTGCCACCCAGAGAGGTTCACAGTGATACGATCTGACGTGAGTTCCCAAAGTTGTCTCACATAGATCCCAGCAGCCAGATGTCTGGCAGCTGAACACTGGGAGCCTGGGCCATGCCATCCTGTGTCTCAAATTTGCCTGAAACGTACCAGGTGGGCCCCAGGGTCCTGGCCCTGAACCACCGTTCCAGAGAGCTTTTCACGAAGAACCAGCATGAGGGAATTTTCCTTTTAGGCAAGATGCTACTCAGACCATTCTCTTCCCTGAGAACCACAGATGGAGTAAAGGCCTTCACCCTGTCCATTTGTTTCAAGCCCTCACTCAGCTCTTACATAAATACAGACATTTCACAGTAGATCTCATTGTCAGTCTGTGTGGGGAGGAGGTGTAATGTCTCGGTCACTCACTCTATGTCAAAATTGGATTCCCAGAGGATTAATAATTTATTCGGGCATCGTTTAGTCAAAGCCAAGAGGAGAGATCATTATTGCTTCAACCAGTATAGACTTGCTGATTTGCTTTTCCAAACAAACAAGAAACCAGGGCATATAAGTTACGGGGTTAACAAGACTCTTCGCCTTCCCACTATCTGGGCTAAGTGGGTGCTGTCGGAGCAGCCACTAAGACCGTACTGTAGCCCTGAGCACGGTATCAGGTGGGATGCAGCTTCACTCGGGCGTGTGGCTTGTTGAATGGAGTATGGGCGGATTGAAGCCCCACTCACTCTCATTGCCAAGTGCTTTTGAGCAGTAAACGATGGGTACAACTCTGCGGCAGCCGTGGTTGTGGCAAATATGAAGTACAGATATTTGTATATTCACTCACTTAGACTTCCAAGCCCACGCCAACTCCCATCCACCCACTGGAACTTCTCATTTTTATATAATTTGCATCTGAGTTATTCTAACAATGTAACGGCGATTTTAGGTCTCTCTTTTAGCTGTGGATGAGATGCACATGAGCCTACCCAAGATGAAGAAGGACATTTACTGGGACGATTCTGCCGCCCAACCACCATACACACTGGCAGCTGCTGACTACTGCATACCCTCATTTCTGGGATCAACAGTCCAAATGGGGTAAGCGTATTTTTTTTAAATCTCCAATATTTAGGAAATAAGTAGATCACTATTTTGATCTATTTGCTTTTTGGCTTTTTTTTCTAATTGCGCTTAATAAGTGAGTCTCTGTCGAGTGGTTTTAACATAAGAATCTGTCCCTATAGACTAGGGGCCTTAAATAAATGGGTTGAGGCCTGAAGTAAATCAGGCACAGTTCTAGAATAATTTTATTACATCTTACAATGGATGCGATTTTGAAGAAATGCGTGTGTGTGTGTGTGTGTGTGTGTGTGGTGGGGTGTAAGTATATTTGCTGAAGTCAGGTGCCACAGTTTCCAAGTAAATTAAAGAGGAGAGCATGGACAAATTTAGAGAGTGAAAACCACTCCCTGCTCCCCCCCCAAAAAAAACAGTAGAAAAAGGAAAAAATTTGTGGAATTTTTGTCATAACTTTAGGCAAAACTGTGGCTCATTGTTCCCTGAGGCCAACCCTAAGCAGATTTGTGAAGCAGGTTCATGCCCTGTGCTTGCCGCCCTCCCCTTTCTCTGCTTTCGGGACACCTGGCTTCAATCCTGCTCCTACGAAGCTTTACCCTTAGCTGAATGTCTCCTAATCCTTATGAATGGTGATTTGTGGCACTGCTCTTCCAAAGGGGCCTCTGAGGCTGAAAACCTTTCAAGACCCAAAGAAAAGGATGACTGAAGGTGGAATTTCAGGAGCTGTGGCAGATCACTTCCTCTAAGTTGAGGAAGACTTAGGAGCCAGGAGATTTTCCTTGCTGCCCTCAAAGGACACCTTAGAGAAAGTCACCTCCTCCAGATTAGACTTGCTTCTGCTTTTAGATAGCCTTCTAAGACAGCACCCTCCTGTCCAGGGCTCCTTCTAGGCCAGGAAACTCAGCCCTACCCCAGCCTATTCTTAGTCCCCATGCATAGTGACTTCCCACTGTGTGCCCTTCTCAGCCTTTGTAATGCCCTCCCCAGCGGCAGAGACTCGTGGACATTTGGCAACCTTCTCATTTTTGAAAACTAATAAGAAGTGTTTTTCTGTGAATTTGTTTTCAGATAATTCAGGGTGCTTTATCCTTCCTCCCAGTCCCACCATTATTAAATTATTTGAAGTCCTAACTTGTAAAAGAAGAGAGACCTATACCCTTGATAAAGTCAGGAAATCACTGTGATGATTTTATTTAGGCTGCAAGTGCTGCGTGGGCTGCATCTCTAATGTCCATCGGGTTGTTTTGCACAATGGTTCAATGAGTTTTTACAGGTCTCAAGATTTTTATCCTAATCTACATATTCATCCTAATCATCATAATTTGGGGGGTTCCTAAGTAAATGTCCATGTTCTTTAGAAAAATATTAAAACATCTGTTTCTCCAATTTCTAAATATGAAAACATAGAATTAGGGATTGATAAGATCTTGGAGAAAATTCCTTTCCCAAAAAGGTTATTAGGAAAGTTAAATGTGATTGTAAACATAAAACACTCCAAATATAACTATAGAGCCTATTATTATCAGCTAGCCAATTCTCTTATTTGTGGATGTCAAACCGAGGCACAGAAAGATCTACTGGGAGAGATTTCTGTGAGACGTCTAACGGGACTCTGCTAGAACCACCCAGGCAAGGAAACAACTCTAGGCAAAAGCTCACTTGTTCTTGATTTTCTGCATGCATGAGAACTGTTAAACTGAGCCGCAGCCCAGGAAGATGCCCTGAAGGAACACAGACATGTTCACAGGAGTGCCCCTTTCCATCCGGTAGTGTTGATTCTTCCTAGGATTGTAATGTTAGACCAAATGTGACAGAAAACCAAACTCAAATCATCTTAAGCAAAAAGGGTTTTATTGGGTCCCACCAGAGACAAGTGTAGCTTTGGGCGTGGCTGGGTCCAGAGGCTCAGAGAATGTTGCCGGGACTCCCTCTGGCCCTGTCCCCCTCGGTTCTGCTTTTCTCTCCACTGGCTCCGATGTCAGGCAGGCTCCCCCCTCCAGATGGCAAGTGGAAAATGACAGCCAGCAGCCTCAGGCTTACAACCTACCTTCTCAGCAAACCTGTGGGAAAAGCACATCTTTTTTCCAGCTCTTAAAACTAAAATACTAAATGTGCTGTGATTGGCTGGGCGTGGCTAACATATCCATTCCTGAACTAATCACTGTCGATAGGGAAACACGATATTCTGATTAGTTAAGGCTGGGTCCGGTGTCCACCTTTAAACCAAGGGGAATAGTCAGCCCCATCCGACCATGTGGAGTATGTGATGTCTCGAGAAAAATCAGGGTGCTCATACCAGGAGAAGGGCAAATGATTTTGCTGTCCTGGCAAAAACAACAGATGACTTCTAAAAATTGTAGAAGATAATTCCCCAAGCAATTAATTGTTCCCTCACCAAATACAAGGTCACCATCAAGTGAGGCCAGCTGAGGCTGAGGGAAAAAGGCAAAAGTGAAAGTCTAATTGCAGCACAGGTGGTTTTGTGGGTGATGACTGAGCCAGTGAGCTCTCTGCATTAGGGTGAGGACCAGGTGTGAAGATACTGTAGACATAAGCATTTCATAAAAGTCCCTGCCGCTTGATGAGCATTGAAAATCCTTTCCTAGATGAGTAAATTCTTTATTTTCTTATTCTGTTTTGGGTATTTAAATCAGAAATCAAATTTCACTTATTTTCTCATATCAACATTTCAGGTGTGTAGTCACAATTCCCATAAGCCAGAAATTCTGAAATCAAGGCAGTGCCCTTCAAAGGCTGAGCAAAAGTGCTGTACAGGGGCGGCCTGGGAAATCACTCGCCCGGCATTCCGCACACTCAGCACACTGCTCACATTGCTCATCTCCACATAAAGTGGAAACTCCTTGGAGACAATCCCTTTGTTCTCTATAGTAAGGAACATGTTCAAAGCACACGGCCCTGTTTTCTGCATATTTACTAAATTATACATTACTTAAATAAAGTTAGTTTTTCTCCCTTTTCCTTATCTCAAGTACAAATTTAAAATACATTTTCCTGTGTACTTTCACATGTGAAATGCACTCATTTATTTATTCAGGTAAATATTACTTAGTATGTGGTAGGTTCTATGCCAGATGCTAGAGGTAGTCAAAAAAAGATAGAAAGAAAAGGGGAAAAAAACACCTTTTAGCTCCCAGACATAATGAGGAAACAAGTTACAGTATTACGTGAGATAACGTGGTAAATGCTGCAGTAGAGAAATGCTCGGAGTCTTATGGGCACACACTTCACGCAGGCTGCTGAATCACAGAAGGCTGCTTGGGGTTGGGGAGTCTACTGTGCATCTTTAACCCTTTGCACTCAGATGTCGAGTGTGGATAATGTCTAGTGGATAATGAGAAAAAAGCAAGCAAGTGCAAAGGGTTAAGAGTGAGTTAGGAGGCCGGTGCAGCGGCTCAGGCCTGGTCATGCCAGCACTTTGGGGGCCGAGGCAGGAGGATCACTTGAGGCCAGGAGTTTGAGACCAGCCTGGGCAGCATAAGAGGTCTACAAAAATTAGAAAATTTAGCCTGGCCTGATGGCATGCGCCTGTAGTCACAGCTACTAGGAGGCTGAGCCTGGAGGACTGCTTGAGGCCAGAAGTTTGAGGCTGCAGTGAGCTGTGATCATGATGCTGCACTCCAGCCTGGGCAACAGAGTGAGATGCTGTCTCACCAAAAAAAAAAAAAAAAAAAGTTAGGAGCTAATGTGCAGATAGGAGCAGAGGGTGCATTCTAGGTCAACATGATCAAAGATGGAAAAAAAATACAAATAGTGTGTGCAGAGTAACAACTTGATATGCAAAGCAGAGAAGCTAAGAAATGAATCTAGAGGGCAGATTATGGAGGGCTTTATAGGCTGGGTAAAGGGCTTCAGCCTTTCTCCAGAGCTATAAATGACAGGGGCACATATTTATTTTCGGTAGGTTAGCCTGGCAGCTGGCTGAAAGACGGAGTGCTGAGGGTAAGACCAGAGCCAGAGTTAGCAGGCTATTGGTGCCATTTAAACAGGAGAGGATACGTGCCTGAACTCAGTGGCTTCACAAGGGACGTAGACAGTAGAGATGATGGAAGGGACAATAAGATTCAAGAAAGGAGAAGGAGTTAAGAATGCCTGGGTGGTAAACCAAGGCTGATGGAGGGGTAAGGGTGGGAGCTGCTCTACAGGGAACGTGACGCCTGTGTCAAAGGTGAGGCTTCTGCGGGTGCTGCACGTGGACACAGCCCCGCAGGCAGTGAGTGCAGAGACAAGGTCTAGGCCAGAGGATGCCTCTGCCTGTAGTCAGCACACAGAAGTGTAGGAGTGGGTGGGCGCACCCAGAGCAGCGCCCAGGGGGCAGGGCAGGATGCAAGGGGTAGAACACTATCTCTGAAAGGGTAGGCAGAGAGGCAGAAGAACGCAGAGAATGCCCTCTCCTGGAGGCCAAGGGTGCAGTGCTGCAAAATAAAGCCTCAAAAATGCTGTAAGTAGGGGATGGACACGCTTGAAGCTCTGACTTGAGGCGGGAGGTGAGGCATGGGCAATATACGTAACCTTAACACTTGTATCCCCATAATACACTAAAATAAAATAAAATAAAAATGGTATAAGTGTTTGCATGTTAAGGTCATTGGAGACATAAGTAAGAGTGTGGAGCAGAAGCTAAATTTCAGGTTAGGAGTGATTGGAAGGTGAGGAGATCAAGACTGCCCGTGTAAGTGATTAAAAAAAATAATTATATTATAGAAAACAGATACAAAAGTAGAGAATAAGCTCCAATAAAGCTCCATATACCCTTCACAATTTTCCACCCACCCTCACCCTCCTCACCCTTGGATCATTGTGAATCACTATGCCTGTCACCAGAATAGTGTTCATTGTACCCAGTAGATAAGTTTTTATCCCACACACTCCCATCTATCCTCCCCCTTTCTTCATTTCTCCTGTCCTCTATATCACTTTGTGCCCATGTGTACCTATTATTTAGCTCTCACTTATTAGTGAGGATATAAGGTGTTTGGTTTTCCATTCTTGAGATATTTTAC